CCCACATATTGGTGCACCTTTCCTGTTTTCTCGTCACATGTATGTGCAGAGGTAATTAATATCTTGTCTGAGAAGTTTGCCGTGGTTGTTCCAACGTTAGGGGCACGCAAACCTACGTTAAATATGGACCTGACGAAATCAGTTCTCACGCCCTGCAGCTACACTGAAGTAATACAGCAAATTATGTCTGTACTTGGTCTCGTTCGTAGGGCCGTAATTCAGAGCAAAAGCAAATGCGGAAATGCCGCAAAATCTCCTTAATTGTTGCACACTGGCTTTGTAAAGTTTCTGTCGAAGTGAAAGCATGGTACTTTGGTACACACTACTGTTAGTGTAAAGGAGCCAATTCCGAACTCTTGTGATACGCATATGTAGCGCTGGTTTTGCTCCATATTGATTTGCGCTGTAATTATATTTGACCAATTTAACGGCATCCCAAGCAGCGCTTTTAGCGTAGGAGCGATAATAGCGATATGATGAAGTAATTGAGCGGGTCATTCCACTTACGTAGCAGTTTAGCAGCGGTTTGTTACCATCGGCATTTTACATCACTTTTTTTTCAGGCCTGTGTGGTTTTTCCTCCTAAATCGCTTAAATCCTGATTCGGCGCCAGAAATCTGCTTCAGAGTCTGGACGGGTCGCAACTCACCACGCGACGCGACGGTAACAGGATTACTTGGTCGTATAAGCGATGCCCATCGTGGTTGGAACTCTTACAACAGTGGTACCGCAACGGCAAATCTACCTTTCGCGCGGTGCAAAAAAGATCGGGGACCAGACACATCAGTGTAAACCGCGGATTACATCAAATCATGTTTTCTCGTGCGCCGCACAAGCACGAACGCTTAATTGGGTTAACCTGCCGCTGGCACTGTCGTCCAGAAGTGCATGATATGATGATGGTCGTGTCTCCCAACGACAACATCTTTCAGACCAATCTAAATTCATTATAAATTTCATTTCCATGCTTCGCTCAGGCGTGTATACCTAACTCGGCAAATGCTCTTTTGGATTTTGCGGTGCGTCTGAAGCCGAAATGGGACATTGCGATTACATGGGCCCTTCTCAATTTCTGCGGGCTATATTTTTCTATTACTGTAACGTCCTAGTAAATAGAAAAACACGGTTGCATTAAATATCTGGAGCATTTACCAGCACATCTGAGCATTTTAGTTAATAAAATTAAGCCTTGGGCTGGATTTGACGCTCTAAATGCCTCAAATACATGCAATTAAAAATTCTTCGTTTCCAGTTCCATGAGGCAATGTACTCTCCGGAATAGATGATCTATAGCAGTAATGAAAAACTATATTACTCTCCTGATTATTTCAAAACACGTCATTTTTACGTTAAAAGCATCACATGCTTTTCGTTTCATCATATTTTGTGTTGTCAAATGTATAAACATACAAAATAATCTCTTCAAAGTCACAATTGAAGCAAAAGGGATGCTCATGACAACGTGTGCAGAAAGGAAATTTATGCAGTTGCTTTAAGGAACGCAGCTTCTCTTCGGAACGCATTTTATGTATTTACGTCTTGTTACTGGCATGCTTGTATTTTACAAAAACAACATATGGTGTAGGTAATTTTCCTGAAGTTAGAAATTACATGTATGTTTATGTTGTACTTTGATCAAATCCCAGGAGGACTAACTTAACCAGTATATTTCCTCTTGAGGGCGTTCTGGTTGAAGAAAAGAACATTAAAAACTGCATTGTCTTTTCCCAGAATCACTTCTAAGATTTGTTTTGATCTGAACAGATTTTGATATGTGAGGTAAAATTATCTCACCGGCAGTTAATTCGTTAATTTTCATGAAAGCAGAGGAAGCGGTGGTGTGTGTATATTGCGCCAACAAAAAATGAACAGCATGCATTACATTTAAGGTGATCGAAACTTGAATGTCGCGTTACTGGAGGGAACGTAGCAACAACTTCAAATTATACTCTGAATGGAAAACCTCTCATATCGCGTTGAAGATTGTATAATTTGCATACCCGTTTGTCAAACACAAGAGTCATACCAAAAATACAAACCAAAGTACCGGTACTTGATTTTAAACTGCTGTCTACAGATGAAAAACTGAAGACCTGAGCCCGTCACTACGGCACAGGTATAGTCTCCCCTGGGCCGTCATTATCACATTTGAAAAATGCATAATTTAGAACACAGAACCCTGCAGGCATTCATATGTTTGAGTGGCTTGTAAAAAACACACTTGTAATTCTTCTTATTCTCTCTTTTTTCAAAATAACCTTATCAAGGGGCTGAGGCTCCTTCGAATCGAGGGTCAGTGACTTGGAGCGCAAACAAGTCACGGTTAATGCGAGGACAGGGGTGGACGGAATTCTCATAAAGACTATGCAAATGTTCGTTTTTGTGACTATATCATTCGAAGTGCTTCCTGGGGCTGGATTTAGATTTTTTTAAACGTCGTTAAAATGTCGCGAGGGAAGACCGCATGGGAATAATTGATTATGCGTGAAACTGGGAAAAAATAACCAAGTGAGTGCGTCGATTGACGTCAGAGGTGATCTTTGAAATAATAAAACAGTTTGTCCCTTTTTATAAATGATTTCTTTTGCGAATATGCAAACGATGCAACAGTATCACACCATCCAAAAAGGTTCATCCAGTAGAGTTCTAGCGTTCCGGGGAGCTGTATTCTCAAGCCAAAGGGCTTCGTAAGATATCAACTATCGTCATTTACATTGTCATCGACGGCATAGTACCCCCCACCCCACCCCGCATACACCACTATCACCACAGTCAAAATAAACTTATCCCTGAAGCCGGAATGAACACTAGATTGTGACTTTGCACGTTCAGGGTGCAGGTGGAGAAATACATACCTTCTGAAACTGGAGTCTAAGACTGTTCATTGCCGGGGCCAATTGCTAAATGGACACAAAACTACCACTTATACCTGCACTGCTAAACGAAGCTTTAAATGTCAACTGAGAATGTATAGCATTGTTGGCCCTGAGGTGTCCATGGTGTGGCGCGCGTGACACACTCATGCAGGTTGTGCACTTGATATCACCCTGGCTGTCAGCGTCTTCATCCAATAGACTTGATGGCAGTCGTCAATCATTTTACCCTCGGGCAAGCTTTCCTTGATAATGTCTCCATTTTGACATTTCATTCGGCTACAGTTTTGTAACATCATGATTCATTGTATACCTTACCTTTCTCTGGAACCGAAAAATGTAAAAAAAAAAAAAATTCATGCCAACGTAAAATTGCATGATAACATCGGCCGTCTTGGCCCTTTGCACCGAAGTTATGGATCAAACACAATCTAATTACCGGTACTGCGCTTTGTCTTGACATTTTCATCTCCTTGCAAAGGAGTTATTCTAAACAAAAATGGAACAGTTTAAGTGAAAACAAAGAATTATTTCAAACATACAAGGAAGACTTCGCAATGCAACGGAAAATGGAAAAAGCGCCAAAATACCTGCTCTGTTTACTTGATTATGATGACAAAACAAAACATTTCTTTGATATTTGATTACTTTTCTTCTTTAATTACAAATGATATGTCTTTTTTGAAAATCAGTTGCTCTCATTATTTTCTTGAAGATATTTTCTGGAAGTGATCAGTTATTTTGACATTACACTTCAGTATAAAGACGACTACACGAGAAACGTGAACGTAGTTAGTTTTTGTATTGTGCGTCTATTCGCTGTTTACCCCTCTGTCCTGGAGATCTTGCCTTCTAATTTGAAGAGTTTACTGGAAAGTAATGAAATCACCATTTCAAAAGTAACATTCCAAATAGACCAAGGAGTTTTCTTGTAAAAAGGTTAAGAATGACTACTTTTCACAGAGACCAGTCTTTAAAGGAAACGTATAATCATCAAGCATTTTTGTGTTCAGAGGTAATGCGTTGCTGGCGTCTCCATGCTGTCTCAGATGCTGTTTTTGTTATTTTAATTTTGTTACAAGCAATGCACAAAACCGTTTACTTCAGCCTATCCCAGTGATACAAAAATCTTGCCCTCTGCGGACGCGTTAACGCATAGCTATTATGGTGAAATTCATTACGGATGAGTTGTCGAAGAACCGTAAGAGGACTTGCTGTATTTAAAAGGGTAGAAAACCAACTAAAGGAAAAAACCTCACCATTTAAATGTACAAGTTAATGGAAAACATTCAGTTGGAATGTATTTCAAGAAATCCTTTAGTTATTAAACAAAATTAAAGAAATATCGAAAACACAGTGCGTTCTATACAGATGTTAGAAATAATCATAATAGGAAAAACGATTTTTTTGGCAGACATACCAAACCCGTTGCCCGACTCTGGTACGTGTGTTTATTGTGTGCTTTCGTAAAGATACGAAAGTGTAGGAATCAGACTCAGTTTTCACTGGACAAATAAGTGTTTGCCTTTGATTGGCAAGCGGAACAGTTTACTACAGCGTGCTATAACGCTTTTAAATGAAAAACCTTCGGCGCTGTCAGAAATTGTGAATACCTGTCATAAAATCAATACCCTCTCGTATACAATTTACCCGAAAGATGTTTTTTGGTTGGAAGACCAGAAGGTCTAATATTTCCAATCTGAAGCTGTCCTTGGAATATCGATCGTCTGAAGAAGGGTACTTCAAAAAGTAAACATTGAAACAACGATCTCTCTTGCTTCTGAAATGATCTTAAGTGGTATCGTAACCTTTCTTGAGTTGCTTAAAACAACGTAAAATGCCTGAAGCTAACATCCCATGAATTCCCACACAACTCCATTTCAGAAATACCGTACACAATCATCTATTATTAAGATGTTGTCTGCTTACTGTTACAATACGTCAAAACTAGGCCTACTGCTTAAAAAATTAATGCAACATACCGATACTTTAAAAGCAGACGGTAGGTCGACCTTGGAGCAAGGGTAAAATCGCCTGACTTGAATTACCTTCACCTTGTACACATTACACTTTTTCCATCGGTACATTGTTATTTTCAACGCTTCGTTGATCTGTTGGTTTGTGCAGATTCCTCAAGTAAGTTACGCTTCGACGAGCCCGGAGTTGAGTGACAAGTCGCGCTACGACTATTTCCTGCGCGTCGTACCCCCAGACACTTACCAGGCTCAGGCCATGCTGGACATCGTCACGGCCCTGGGCTGGACATATGTGTCAACGGTGGCCTCTGCCGGCAACTACGGGGAAAACGGAATAAGCACCTTCAGGAATCTGAGCAGATCATCAGGTGTGTGCCTTGATTACAAAATACATTTTCTTTTAAATTTCTCTCTACTCATTTCAGCCCTCGTTCTCATTATTACATTGTTTTTTGTTTCACCATTTCATCACAGGAACGTAAGAGTTTGAGGGCCATAAACAGCTAAACAAACGGCACTTTAGTAGCCACAGAGAAAGTAGTTATTAAATTGTTCGAGTACCTTTTCTCATTGATGTTATTTAATACTTGCTTTTATAGAAAAGGACATTTTGGTAGTTATATTTGTTTGTTTTTGTATTGGATTATTAACCGATACTGCAGGAAGTCAAACTGGTTAATTCTTTCTCTGCGATCATAGAAATTCCAAGTTCTCCATGTTAACTTGCTCCCATTATCAAGCTGCAGACTACATCTCACCAAAGCGATAGTCACCCCGCAACTGACGTGTTTGGGGAAGCTCTTTGCAACACGTCGGGTGTGAAATGCGAACGCTCGCACGACACTTAAGAATAAACGACGTAATTGCCTGGGATGACAGGCGACTGATCTCGGCAAGTCAAGCGTTGGCCGATTGAACAACCATCGTCAGCACCTGAGCGGATATCTTCTTGTTTTTCCTTAACTGAGAAAGGGTGATCTCTGTCTTTAATAAAACACGAATTGCGACGGGGAAGTGTGTGGTAAGCCGTGCGTTAAATTGCGATGGTGCCTTTGGTTTGAGAGCGTATAATCTCTCAGAAAGTCAACTTTACCACAAAACCAGCAGTCGGTTGCACTTCTGTTAAAAAAAGCCATAAAAAATCAAGAGGCGCGGATCCCATTTAAAGACAGTTAAAGCAACAAGCGAACAAAAAGCCAAAGAAATTTGGCAAGTCACATCGATACATTTGATTGAGGTTAATTGATTCAACTTTGTGAGACATGATTTATAATCTTTTCGAAGCATTGGATGAACTTTCCCCGTTTTCCAACCTGGTGACGTCACCATGAAGAAATTGACATCACCACGAAATTTCTTTCACTGTTTATCGCCAAAATACTTCTCATTGCATTGTTTCACGGAGCACTGTTCTGATTGAATGGGAGACTTTCGAGACGCTCGGCGGTGGCAAAGATTCTGGTCTGTTTCTATTGTTAACGTCATGTATTTTGAGCACGTCGTTAAGAATGTTGAGCGTCCACATTGCCCTCAAATGGCGCTGGGGTTGGCTAATTTCTGCAAGGTGGGTGAGAATAAGAGATAGGGCCAGTCTTTTTGCCGCCAATGAAAGTCTCAAAAGTCTTCCCGGTTTCAGAATTATCTTCAGTCCGCTCTTTAACAGCCATCGACAGGTTTACGTGAGCAACGTCGCTGGAACATTAAACATGTCGCACTATTGAGAGAATGTTGACAAGTACATTGTCAGAGGCCAGGCGGCTTGAGGGAGACGATATCTGTTCCCTTCCAGTGCTGGTTAATTGTCTGCTACGCGTACCGAACGAATCTCGTCTGACTACCCTCCGGGCTGAGTTGATTGGCTGTGGTTATCAACTGTTGTAATAAATGTTTAGATAGGAAAGACACCACTGGACCTGACAGGTTCCATGTCAAGAACTTTACACCGAAAAATATTGTTTTGCACAAAATAATGTCCATCTCGCGGAAATGTGTGGAATTGATGAGATTCTCATGGTTGATTTAAAATCATAATGATTACTTGGACAGCTGAGGATTTGGTTTCGGTTAGGCTACATCAGCTTGTCGAAAACTATGAAGGTGGCTTCACCAACAATTAGCTAGCTCCAAACTTGCCACGACAGCTCTTCATGTAGAAACAATTGCAACAGTTAGGCATTTGCCTTTACAGACGTCACTGTTTAACTCGTGAATTCAGAAAAGAACTACTTTCCGTAACACAGAAGGCCCCGTTAGTGGCCCTCGAACACGGAAAATATAAAAACTTAGTTTAATCGAGCAAATTTAAAGGAGCGCATTAAAATCCTTCTTTTTGGCTAGTACATTTAGAATTTTAAAGACTAGGGATGATTTGCTTCTATAGCAAGGAGGCACCACGACAGACAGGCCCGATTGAAATATCAGCCTTTTGCCATTGTGCCTGAAGTTTTTCTCACCCGAATATAACTTTCTAAATTCAATTAAGCTGCTGCCGAAGAAGAGATGGAAGCACTTTATAGCTACGAACTCTAATAAGGACATTATCTTGTGATTGAATGTTGAAAGAGGCAACATTACGGTATGCCTCCATGACGTTCAGTACCGGTACGTCGACACCAAAAAGAGCATGCAAGTCTCGCGCCTGCGCATCTGTGAACGTCATGCTGCCGCACACTGACAATGAAGTCGACTCCTTCCTTCTTTCCAAATCAGTCTTAAAGCCAGAAAAGTGAACAATCATTAACAGAGGGCATCAGGTGACCTGTTAGTAGTCAGATTTGAAACCGTATTACTATTACGCTTTACATATTCTCAAGACCGACATTAGAGTGCGCGTACCACGTAGAGGGAGGCCCACCCCGTGATGCTGACATTCAAATTATGTGAGGAAGATGTGGCAGCACAAGAAAGACCCACAGACAAAGAGTGAACCCGCCAAATTTTACAGCTAATCCCTCGCACACTGAGCAAAGCATGGGGTTAACTGCTATCCCACCATTAAGAAGCTTTTTACCCTTGAAGTCTTGCTTGGAAGCGTACTTTTAGTTTTTGCCAAAAGTCCAAGATTGAGACGAATTTGCAAAGGCTCTGCACAGCAGGCATAGCCCTTAAAGCCTCCTCCTCGTGACACAGTGTCCCTTTGCAATACTGTTTAATAGCAGGCATGCTATTAAATAATCTAACCGAATCAACATGCAGCCACACGACGATCAATTATAGGCTACATAAATCACGTGCAAGGACCCCTTTTTGCTGCGTTCTTCTGGCTGTCGAGTCATTTGACGAGCAAATTTGATCAGTGACGGAATTTCTGTGAGAAAATTTGTTCATTGAACAAATTCGTTTTGGTTTCAAAGCAACAATGCTTAAAGTCGGATTCAAATTGAAATACGTCTGTGCCGCTTGTTCTGTTGTTTCTTGTAAGTTCTGTTCTTCGGTGTTGCTGATATTTAAAGAAGAAAACCCCCGGAGAAGGTTACGATTCGGATATTTGTGGCGAAAAAGCCCACCGGGAGATGCTCGCCCACCTTTAAAGTCTCATTTTCGTGCAACAAATCTGGAAGACGCAATTGCGGTCGATAGAGACAGCAGCCCTGGCAAAAACGGCATTTGGGGCGGCTGTGTAACAGCAGGGTCACCCTCGGCTAATGACAGCGATTGCGACGGTTCAAGCTCGCCAGGATTAAGTGTATACCTTTTTCCCGCGATGAGATGAGAATCGTCAAGATATGGACGCTCTCTTCCATTCGTTTCCCCCGTACAGCTGAAACTCCTTTGACTGATTTGGGCTAATAACTTGAGCTATAGAGTATCCCATAATGATATTGGTATCTCGGAGTGCCGGTTTTTAGTTTCGGCCGTTGTCTGAGCGAATTTGAGCGAGGGAATTGGTTCGGCGATATTGAGCGATAATCTGTTTCGATGATGAAGTTTGTCACTTAGTCAAGGGAGCTGGCTGTCGAGATAAAACACACGGACATTTTTAGTGGGCAAAGCAGGGTGCTCTTTTCCAAATGCGGTTATGTGAACAGAGATTCACTCTGTGTTAAACAGTTAAAGAAAACACGTTATTGTACATTATACCATGATTGATCTGAATTGTGATGCAACTTTATCCTTCAGCGCTACATTACTGTCAACGAATCTCAGTCAGCCATATTTTAATTTCGTAAAAAGTGAACAGTTTGCAAATTTGAAATTTAAAACTGTTAACTCCGTTGTTACGCTAAGTTCGTCAGATGGTCGAGTAGAAAAGGAAAAAAATGACCTTCGGAAAAAGACATAAGTGACGTGGGTTCTGCGTTGATGGATGTATAATGATGTCACTGGTCTCTTTAAAATATTACTACTTTTCTCTACATAATGCAAAAGGGCCAAGGTTCTAGTGAACGATAAATATCCAGCATTTTATTTTGTTGGAAACTACTATTAAATATGGGGAGAATCAAAGCGCCAGGTTTGGTGTCTTGTTCTTCAACGGTGTCAGATATATCGCATCGCGGACGAATCAAAACACCACAATTTGGTGTCTGTCTTGTTCTTCAGCAGTTTCATGTATTCAATCACATCTCAGGAGAATTCGAGCGCCAAGTTTGGCATGCCGTTCTCTGATCAGCGGTGTCAGACAAAATCGCACCGGGAGGAATCAAAGCCCCAAGCTTGATGTCTCATTCTTCGGCAGTGTCAAGCACACGAGCACATGCAGTCAATGGGTTTCATCGTTTTGGTTTCATGGTCGGTATCCGTTTTGACATTCAACGAGACACACACTCTCTAATCTCTCCAATCGTCTCCTGCAGGTATATGCTTGACTGACCCGGAAGTTATTCCCAGGGACGCCACCGATGGAACCTTTGACAAGCTGGTCAAGTACCTGTCAAAAGCGGAGCATGCTCGGGGGGTGGTGACCTTCGCCTCCGAGACGGACATCCGGAGGCTCCTGGCGGCCGTTGCCCGGGCCAACCAGACAGGCCACTTTATTTGGATTGGCAGCGACGACTGGGGGACCAAGCCAAACCCGGTGGAAGGCCAGGAGGCAGTGGCCGAGGGTTCCATTACCCTCCTCCCTGCTGGAAGCCTCGACAAAGGTACAATTAATGCAGACTGTGGCAGCATGTAACACGTGTTCAGGTGCCACATCGCATCGGGTGTGCATAGATACTAATGGTTCGCTTTCCCAGAACTTTACTTAGGGGACCAAAATGGATTAATGCCGCCGTTATCACGATGTTTAAAATGTGTATACAATGAGTTTATGTGTTGTGGAAAATACTGAAAGACCAGTTCGTTGACAGCCACCACGCGTTTGACCGCTCTCTGAGCGCTTTACTTCGCTGGCTGTACGCAACCAAGATACAGTGTCTCATAGATTAAAACTAAACATTGATACAGAAAAAAAAGGAGTGCCCTACAAAAGGGCTGGCATAAGGTAGCAATCTCAGTGGTCTTGGGCAATAGAGGGCGTCGTCCAGTGAACAATTTTGGTGTCACACTTTGTTCCACTTGATCCTTACAAGTATGCAGGCATGTATGAATATGTGCGTGGGATACTAGATATGCGTACTAAGTGAAAATCGCATTTAATTGTTTGTTCTTACCTGCGCAAATTGAACATCTGGAAATACAGAGGGTAGAGCACCAACTTATGATTTTGGAAACAAAATGGCCGTTCATTATGAGTACAGTAGAGCCTGTGGCTATTGAATACCAACTGTCAGTGTGCACTATAGTGCATACGTATGCTAGATTGTTTCCAACGATGGTGACACTCATGTCGCAATTCTCTATACAGCTCTTGAAAATGGTTAGTTTGCTTTCCAGCATCGCTCCTGCTGCATTATCGCACGCGAGGTAGTTAAACTACACTTCGGGCTCTCAGACCACAAGAAATTTATGTATTTATCCCATTCTTAATTTGCGACTTCGTCAGATTATAACAATTGGCGAAAAAATAGAGGCAGGTCTAAAAACATGCAAACGTCCAATAACGCTATACTAAACAAGCTGTTAAGTCTTATTAGATAGTGGGGAAGTGGCACAAACACTGACCATTCTGCGTCCTCTAAGAGACAAAAACATTAAAATAAACCACACAACATTGGTGAAAAAAAATCACATTTTTCACTGCCCAAGCACATTATACATTAGACATGCCTGGACAAACCATAAACTAAAACATATAAAAAATAACTTTTAACACGTCCATGGACATTTTAAAATGGCAACCGAAATGGTGACGAAATTCCATGTAAAAAAAGAAACGTTCTCTCGCTTACATATTCTATGTCGTTAAAGTGAAAAGGTAATAAGATGATCCTAAGATCGCGAGTCTGGAACCGGGGACACTCGTATCAGAGAATAGAGCCATTAAAAAAATAAAGAGTGTAATAAATCGGTTCAGTTTGAAGAAATAAAATCAGCAGTTCCATCTGTCTGATTAATTTCCCCTGAAACCCCAGCATCAATTGCACTGTGGTACTTAAATTTAATCAGCCTGAAAAGCCAGGAATCATAGGACCGTGATTGTATGATGACAACTGGCAATTCTCACGGGATCGAATTCCTACAAGAGTGAGGCTCTATTCAACAGGAGCGCCCTCTTCTGGCTCTTATGTGTAATTTCTCGTGGAACGTCAATCCTCTATAGACTGCAGTGAGCCATAATTTAGTGACAGACGCGTAACCCGAGTAGGGGTGGAAAATCCACGCTCGCCATGGTTTTCCCAACAGCTTAAAAATAATTGTGCACCAAGACAAAAATCAGTCAGTGACATGATATTAGGTTTATGGGCTGATGACACCAAGCTGATTTTTCGTAACAGGAAACAAAATATGAAAAAAAAAACATTTGGGATTCGAACCAAAGACACCGTCCATACCATTTCTTTTCTCTTACACACTAACTCCAAGCGAGCAAGCTCGAATGAACTCCTTTTTACTTCTCTTGTGCCCACAGCCCCACATTATGTTAAAGCTGCATTCAGATGCTTAGCATAATGTATTACCAGCACGCTTCTTACAATGGCGTTTGGCTGTAAGAGCCCTGTTTATCAACAATGGTGGGTACTCCGATCGGGCGTTTCAGTTTTAGAACGACATTTCTCCTTTTTGAAGGAGTCAGTTGATAGCAGCTACAGAGTACTTGTAATTAAAATGTCCCCATAGTTATAGCCACAGGAGACTGGCTGTATCACGGAGTGACGTATCTTTTTTCACCGCACAAGTGTGTCTTTGTATTTAACAGGTTTTGACGAGTATTTCACCTCACTGACACCAAAGAATGGCTCAAGCCGGGTCTGGTTCCAAGAGTATTGGGAAAAGACATTCCACTGCACCTTCGATGCGTTCAAAGCACTAAAGCAGGGCGCCACGAAACTGTGCACGGGTAGGTGTGCGCACATCTAAAATAACAACTCAAAGTCTTCTATTCGTTCTTGTGCCCCAAATCGACGAACGCGTGGTGTCGTGGCTCTTTGCTGGAATGGCGTACACGACAACGTTCAGCGAATGTTAAAAATTGTTACATTGTAATTGCCTATAACTTCTTATGCTAAAATCAATTTTTCTGAGATGAGTTATTTTTAGGCTTTTAATGTTTGAACAAAGTCCAAAAATCCGAGTGCTAAATTAACACTGAAATCCTAATTGGGCAAGTGTTCGATTTACAGTGGTACAAAGTGTTAATAGAACGCCGATTAGAGTTTAATGTTTAACGCTTGCTCACTAACGGCAGTCGTTTAGAAGGAGTGTGGGTGAAAACAGAGTGTAGTTTTGTTTTGACAGGGGAGGGGGTAATTTAAAGGTTCACCACGGGCCGTTTCGCGTACTGGAAGGTTGAAGTGAGCCACAAAATTGCTTTCGTTTGCTGTCATGCAGGACATGAAGCTCTGTCCGAGGAGACCTACGAGCAAGAAGGCAAGATTTCCTTCGTGGTAGACGCGGTGTATGCTTTCGCCCACGCCCTGAACAATATACAACAGGACCTGTGCAACCGGTCCGCCGGCCTGTGCCCAGAGGTTCTCAGTGTTGATGGGTGGAGACTGCTGGAGTACATGAAGAATGTCTCTTTTGAAGGTACGAGGAGTGGAGAATAACAGTGGGGTTCGCGGAATGCTGTTTAGAGTTTCGTTGCTTATATGTGCGTGTTAGAAGGCAGTTGCAGAGAAATGCTTAACACAGGCAGTACATGCTCGCAACAAAGGCAGGTAACCGGCGAAAGTGTTATTCCAGAATTATTACTTGAGACTGGTTATCTTCTTATTTTCGCTTTGCACTGAATGTGCTCAGCAGTGTTTTCTGCTTAGTAGCTCTTTGAAGGTGGGCTCTGGATTTAACCGCCATGTCCATATGGCTGTGATTCGATCTCTTTATTATTCAGATACGACTACCGTACTGTCTTTCGGAGTCATAGTCGTGTTTTTGTACAGAACCCCACAACATTCAGAGAACAGAAACCAAGGAAAAGGCCCTTGCCGATGACGAATGTAACCACTTTAATTACCCCTGATTACTCAGATAGATTAGCTAGAATAAATTCTGTCTGTTAATATCAGGAAGCAGTGGCACTGTGCGCTTCAATAAAGATGGCGACAGACCGGGCAGCTATCAGCTCTACCAGTTCCAAAGGACGGCCAGGGACGAGTATCGATACGTGCCCATAGGCACTTGGGCAGACAAGCTCTCCCTGAACCGGACCTACGTCAGCTGGGCAGGGAGCAACCCAGACGTTGCCCCAGAGTCTGTATGCTCCCTACCCTGCAATACCGCCAAGGGGGAAAAGCGCAGGAAACGACCGGGGGACGAATGCTGCTGGCTGTGCGTCAACTGCGAGCCCTACCAGTACCTGGTGGACGAGTGGACCTGCAGGAATTGTACCCCGGGGTTCCAGCCAAGGTGGGACAGGCGGGGCTGCGAGGAGATCTCCTCAGAGTACCTGACTTGGGATTCGCCCTGGGCCATCCCGCCCACCTTGCTGGCCGTCATCGGGATAGTCTGCACTGTGTTCGTCATTGCTGTCTTTGTGCGGTTCAACAACACGCCCATCATCCGCGCGTCCGGGCGGGAGCTCTGCTACGTCCTGCTCTTCGGCATCCTGGCCACTTACGTGGCCGTGTTCACGCTCATCGCCAGGCCTAGCACCCTGACCTGCTGCTTGCGCCGGATGATGCTGGGCCTCTCCGTGGTCATCTCCTTCTCCGCGCTCTATACCAAGACCAATCGTGTGTACAGGATCTTCAACAGCGGCAAGCGGTCGGTGAGACGGCCCAAGTACACCAGTCCCAGGTCGCAAATGGTGATCTGCTTCGGGCTGGTGTCTGTCCAGCTAGTGGGGGCCACCCTCTGGTTGGCAATAGACCCTCCTAAAGCCATCAAGACTTTTCCATCCTGGCACCAAGTCATTCTAGAATGTGCAGTCACGGACCTGTCCTTAGTGCTGTCCTTGTCGTACGCCATGGTCCTTATTGTCATGTGCACTTTATACGCCTTTAAAACTCGCAAAATGCCAGAGAACTTCAACGAGGCAAAATTTATCGCTTTTGCAATGTACACTACGTGCGTTGTGTGGGTTGCCTTCATACCAATATACATTGGAACTTCCTCAACAGATTATAAAGTAAGTGAGGTTACCTTAGCTTTACACTAACCAGTTATTTTGCATTGTTTCCTCAGTCCTCGTATTACACTGCGCTTTCAGCTGCTATAAATTTAGCACTGTCTTTGGCTGCTGTACATTTAGCGCATGCTCTGTTATTCGGATCCCCGATTAAACTTTGTCTTTCTCATCTTCCTTCAAAACAAATATCAGATTCAGCAGACGTTATTGTGCCTGTGTTTCATAGTAAGTGCTACCGTCACCCTGGGCTGCATATTCGTGCCCAAGATCTACATCGTCATGTTCGCCCCGCAGAAGAACAAGAAACCGTCGGGCACCATGATGCTCAACAGCCGTATGCGATCGACCTGTGGCTCCATCGAGGGCAGGCCCAACGGAGAGATGAGGGCGCAGACCTTGACCACCGGTGCGGCACCCGTTTCCAATACCACGTCCTCTGGTAGGTGAGGCATGATCTGGTTTCTTGACTTCGTGGAGGGGCATTGGGGTAGATTTCTTACTGTACTGGGCGAGTCCGGGAGTATAATGTTGCGGTGGGTGGGTGCAAGTTTAAGCATTTTCTTAATAGGCCCAACATTATTTTCGCATTTGCAATGGGGACCAATGGGGGGTTGACGATTTTTTTTGGGGGGGGGGGCTGGAAGAGGGGGGGGAATGTGTCCAAAGCCCCCGGCCACGTCACGGGGGGAGGGGAGGTTTCCGGCGCGACCTGTAGTTTGATCGCTGGTCGATTATTTGCCGTCAATGCGCACGTGAAATGCAATCCGATTTGAATGTCCCTTGTCAAACGATTGCGCGAAATCTTATCGTCTGTCACATCATGCCGTTGGTTACATATCTCGTTGAAATGTGGAAACGGTCTTAATTATGAAAAAGGGCCACTGTTAACCAGCAGTGCAACTGTGCTCAAGGGTCTGCCTTCCAGATGGTCGACTATACGGTAGATATAGTCCAACAATTCACTGCTTGGGCTACAGTTAACTGTAGTCGTCGCTCAAACATGCCTAGGGATCATCAGGTATCTATAACACTTTTCATTGACCAGAAGTGCACACACAATACCGGTAACCCTGACATTAGAAAAGGTGTAATACGATAGATGTAGCAATACGTGTAGGTAAGTGCAGTGGGAAGAGTGTTTGCCATTGCTAACACTATTCATGTTCTCACGTACGGATATCAGAACATTTTTGCTTCAATACGAAAAGTCAAAGTCGTGTTCACCGTGGAAAATGCAGTGCTATAAGTGACGTCCGATTAGGCCTCATTTGTAGCTCAAGGCTTTTCAGTGGAGTGGTTAATTTAAGCCAAAAATAACAATAGGTACGTTTTCCAGCTGTTTGCCTATCTAGTGAACATTATTTCTGAACTCCCAAATTCTTATTAAGAGTTGAAATTTCTTGCCACTTTTTTTTTCAGATTTTGAGTCCAGAACGCCGGAGGAAGAGGCAACAAGATTCTAGAAAATGCTTGGACAACGGACAGACCCAGACGGTTTAATACCTTTTTGTATCAACAAGACTTTGGATTCGTAAGGCCAATGTCGAAGATATTTCGACATCAGCTGTTTATGTAAATCCTTCTAAAATCAAATAACGGGATCGATATCAGCAAGTTAAAAACACCTCATGTATACGGTAATGCCTATCTCTGTTTTGGTAAGAAACATTTCTAAAGTATAATCAAGAGTTGACGTTTTTCGTGCTTAAAAGCAATTTATAGAGTAAACATTGGGAGAAAAATGGGACGCGTGGTGACTACGGGAAATACAAACAAAGTGCGCCATAAATGTAAACCATAGTTTGACTTAACGAGGTTTGAGGGTTCGCAAGGTGGAAACGCCAATGGCTGAACAATATTAGTGAAAACCTTCGTGCCATGAGCTGTCCTGATTTCAAATCTTTGCTTGATATGTCACACGACATCAGAATGATCTGTTTGGTAGATTTACCAAGACAGATGTTCCCTTTAAGTGCAATTATTAAATTTGAAAATGTACGCGTATATGATCATTTGAGATTCTGAAAACAGTCGAGTGTCTCGGTTCCGTTACTGTGGTAATATTTTCTTTCGGAGAAAAGTGATATGTTGAATGTTCCACTGAAACAAACAACCAAAAGAGGAAATTTGAAATTGTAAATTACATGAGACAACACGTATCTGACAAAATGAGGCTGCTAAGGTGCGATTGCAAAGTAGAGCTCACGGTAAGGAATTTAAAACAATGAAGGGCCTAGTTGTTTCAAATTTACTTTAAAAAAAATCACCAACCACTTTTCCTTTGTTGCAATAAACTGTAATTCATTTGTGCAGAAGAGCTAGCTACTCATTTTAGCTAATGATTAAAACTTAATGACGTCACTCTTTTTGAGATTTCGTAGGGGGCTCTGTAGACCTTGTCCCGCCTCACTACCATACGAAAACGCACATGAACAAAGCGTGACGTCATTATATTACGGGGCGCAGAGTACTGAAGGGAATACGTCATGAGAACAATGTGTTTAAAGGCATCAACACGAGAACCAGCCTGTGAACCGTTACGCGCGCGTAGGCCTACTCCATTCATTTGCACTGCAGTTCCTGGTTCATAATGACGTCACACTTTGGTACCTTATTGCCTCGTGAATACCCCAGTTCTAAATTCGAAACACGGTTTCATCAAGCATTGTGTGGTAGTTTTATTTACATACACTTAAGTTCCCTTACGTTTTTTTGATTTTTTTCTATGGACACGTTGTGTCTCAAGAGGTTCGCTCTAGGAATCGATTCATATACCAAATAGAGTACCAAAATATGTGGTCTTTCACTGTGAAGCAGTTGAGTAAAGCAACAGTAATGCACCATCTCGCGCGGAGTGAGTATTCCAAAAAAAAAGGAAGAAAAAGAAAAAACGGATAAGGAATTCTTCGGATTATGTTTTCAATTGCCTTGAATCCAAGGACAGGAAACTGGGTTTTTAGGCCACGACATAATTAAATTCCATCTCTGGTATATTTTACGTCTATTAATATTCCTATCCTTGTAACCTTCGTTATTTTCTGTCATCATAGCCGATCAGAAGGTCCGTAGGCCTATGAAAATGTCACCATGGACGATTTTCATAGAGAAAGTCTAGTGAGACATAGACGAAGAACCAAAATACCTTGGAAGAAATTTCCATCAACATAATCATCTTTACATACGCGTGTTCAACAAAAGTCTCACAATTTGCAAATATCATGTCGATGCATAGTAAATTACTTAATTATTTAGCAAAATGTGGTGACACTGTGGAGATCATTGACGATAAAAAGGAAACCTTTACGTAAAACCCCGACCGTAAGAAGTTATTTGGGCTTACTGATAGACAGAAAAACGAACACTTGATAAACGAAACGACGGATAGAGAAGGCCGCGACGGACACATGAACGACAACACGAGCAGACGGAAGACTAGACAAGCCACAGACGTAAAGCAGGAAGACAAACAAACAAACAAACAAACAAACAAACCTATGGACTGTAAACAGAAGGACAGCACACGAGACGTTCAAACGTATCATGACACGAATGCACGGCTGACATCAGGAAAAACGCATACAATCTTGCACGGCGGTTTTAAACGAATTGAATGGACGAATTTAGTGAGAAATGAACAAACATTACTAGACTTAAAGACGGACTGACAGAATGACCGACATATAGACGATAAAAACGACAGTCACCCGACAACGGCAACATATAAACTTTTTAGATGAACAAACTGATTTATACAGTTTGCCAAATGACGGACGAACGCATAAACTTGGTAGGCCTACATGACGAAGGGACGGGCCAACGTGTAAGACGACCAACGCAGTGACCAGAAAACGAGATGAGCATGAGCATAAACGTACATGTATATCATGGGGCAACCATCTTGCTTTTCTATCATTCGAAGTAATGTAACCAAAGGAAAAGTGTGAAGTTGTATTACTATTCCCAATGGGTCTACAGGGAACAAGACAAACATGATCTATTGTGAACGACAAACGATTGGGCTGACAGTTCGGCCAGATCAATATGAAAACTAGAATTATGACAGGCAGACAAAGTTGCAAAGGACGCGAGGGGACGACAAGCAGAAAAACGGAACGTGGACAGACGAACGAACGATTGGACTGCTACCACATGGATACGATTTAAAGATCTAGCGTTGTTAAGATCTTTAAAGTCACAATTATTTTGTGTCTTCTGTTTTGTTCTCAAAGTAATTCCTATGCAAGCGTGATTCTTGCTCACCGTTATGCACACACACACAAAACGACTTCGTCAACAGCTGTCAGTTTTATCCTTTCGAATGAAAAATAACCAGATACTCACCTTCTATCGAATTTTTTCAGGACTATTGGTCGGTAATATTGGGAACAATTTGCAAAGACGAAGTGTTACAACGAAGGTTTAGACCCCGTCTTTGGACCGTCAAAAGTGCAGTTCTGGGATCTGTAGTGACAAATATACCACAGCAGACCGAAACTAATATTTCTAAAAAAAAAACCAAAACGTGTCCGTGAAATTGTATCATCAGGAGAAGTTGTAAACTCGTGTTTATCATCCTCTTCTGTCTGTTTCAGAGTTCTTTTTGTTTCTAATGCAAAAAAAACTGCGGTGCAGGTTTTGGACCGCGGTACGCCCGCACTGCATGCGTGGTTAACAGAAAATACATAATTTTTTTCTTAGCGCTCGTAGATTTTGTCAGCGAACGCAAAGAAAGTACATTCTGACCGTATCGCAGCACTTGTACAGACTTGATGCACTGCAATAAAAATACGATATTGGTGGCACTCTGTACTTTGAGGAGTTTCTTCTTCCTATTTTATGATGATAAGTCACAGTTATCAAAGGTTCCAGCAGCTTACTATTAATTGAATAGATATCGAGTCTTTAATGAGATTTTTTTGCATTCTGTTTTGATGATTTTTGTTGCGGGAGTGTGCACAAATTAATTGTTCCTTGATAAAGTATTAGATTAAATGCGAATTATGTATTTTATAAAGTAAACGTTTTTCGTTTGAAATGTATACGCGGATTTTTTTTATTTGTAAATGTAACAAACACAATAAATGCAATGTAGATATATTTTAGTCAATGGATTGCATTAATAAATGAATTGTACTTATAAATTAAATACAAATCCTTTTTGGTTGTTTCATTTGAGGAGTATTTTGGAATACTGCGTTGAGGTGTAAAAGCTCTTGGTATGAACAAAAGACAGAGTGCATTTATTTCTTGGTTTTAGACAGTTTAATCAAAATAGATGAGAAAGAAATGGATGGAATAGAATGGAAACGCCAAGGGGGAACGTGATGAAAAACTTGTTTGTTGATTTTAACGTGTTGACTCTAATGTGTCGGCAGTTTTCCGGAGCCCAATCGCGACAAACCTCTGATGTAAACTTTGTGTATGCAAATTGTGTGTGTCCCCGTGAGCCAGCAGTCAGAGTCATCGGTCAGAAACGAGCGAGAGGCTCTTAGTTAGTCGATAGTTCTCAGCTGACTTTGCTATGTCACGTTCAGACTCCCCCTAACTGGTTATTGAGGCCCAAGTGCGTTATTCCACTTTGCATGAAGAGGTAGCGAGACGTTTTCTCGTTTTCCAGTAAAACTTTTTAAAAATCACTTTTAAAAGAAAAACCATAGTTGTCAATCGTATCATTGTTCAGTCTTAGTCAAAACAAAAATTACCGGTGGCTTGTTTTGAATTGTGGTGCACATCAGGGACCATTTTTAGGGTGTACTGTGTTCATTCAGGGGTCAGCCATCTTAACTGGAAGAGAGGGGATCAAGGTAAATACGTTTCTAAATTTGATATGTGTGGGGACGTAGACGATGCTTCAATAAATATGCTTTGACTGGTAATTCCAAATTATTAATCAAAAAGTCATGTTGCCTAGTTTGTCCAAATGAAAAACATCTTTCAAAGTGACGTCATGTCCTGTACATATAGCAAAATAATCAGATTCCTTCTCAGTCAAGACTGTCAATTCGCGTTGCACGATCCAAAATGGCCATCTCGTCAATACAGCCTGTAGGCCCTATCAGGCGACACCCCCAAATGCTATTTTATTTTAAATCATTTTCTCATAAAAAGATTACGGGGTTATGTTCTGTCTACAGGGCTTGTCAGTCATCAGGCGAAGAAAAAGCGAAAAGGGGTTAGATGGGACGTGCACAGAAACCAGTCCTGTTTGGGGAAGTTTCTGCTTTCGCATGACAGTTTGCAGCAAGCCATCTTCCACTATTGACTCAGGCCCCGGTGCCCGCTCCTCGTCGTACTCTCGCTCAGAGGAGCTACAATTCACGAGATGTTTGAACGATTGCATCTTGTGTTACCCCCGCCGAGACTGCCTGGAAAGCAATTACGAGGTTGTGAGCGACGGCCTGGGATGTCGTGAATATCCGCTTTAGTGCTGAAATAACATTTCAAACACAATGTGTTTTTGTCCCGGACAACTCGGAGCAAGGCTGCTTATTGCCCCGTTGGCTCGGAGGAGCTGTGTCTATTGCCTGATAAAAGGTAAGGCAAGTTTTCACACACCAAAGGGATAGATTCCACTGGGAAAAACAACGGCTAAGGTGGATCTGGCAGACGACGAAATTTGCTTCGATTTCTTCTTACCCGGCAGGTGTCTTCTCTTGGTTTCAGACGTACCAACTGCAGTTTCTTTTCTAAGGCTACGATAGCTATCGATCGGGACGCTGTCCAATCCAATTCTTGACACCTGAGGGCGCTTCGTAGGCACTGAGTCTGTCTTGACTGTGACTGGCAGTAAGGTCGTACAGTGCCTTAGTTTCTTGGCTGCGGCGTGAAACTACTGCCGAGCATACGGATTTGCTGCAGTTTTGCACTTCACATAGTTTCGTGCGTAATTTCAGGTGATAGCCGTATACGTGTGAATCGGACGCGGCCTGTTGTGGTGGCAACCTTACTGATTCAACTGGTTCACGTGTTCTAATCTCCAGCCAGCATACACCCCAAAACCTAACAACAAAGAGGTGTTAATGAGAGACTTTGAGATGCTGGTGGCAGCAGACACACCGGTCCTTGCTCAAAACTGTGCGTGCAAGCACAGAGCAATGCGCATAGACCATGCTCAGAACTGGTAAAAAGGACTGGTATATGAATATCGCCACCAAGCGTCTCAAAGTTTCCCATTATATTCATTTCTCAGCATCTTCAAACTAAAAGTTACAAAACCGCGAATTGTCGTCGTCTTTACTAGCGTCCAAAAAAACCCTTTCTAGTACAACAGTGGATGATAGTCAGTGAACTCATTGACATATTTTTCGACGCCGATCTGTTTTCAACGTCCCGGTTTTTCACCTCATAATCAAATTTGCCGTCTCGACTTTGCAACTTTAGCGTTTCGATTTTTTCAGCCCGTCTTTCATTCCGCCGCTCTGCAACCCCACTTTGGCTGCAGACTGACAACTCCAACTGCTCCCTCTGTCGGCTACAGCCGGACAATGGCGTAGTTGATGTGACTCGATCGGCCAGGTCACGTCAGCGAATTAGTTCTTGACGCCCACGTGAAGAAAAATCAATGTCTCACTTTGGTCAGAGGTTTGAACTCAAGTGGGGGCGCTCTACAGCATTCTAATCTACTGTGATTTCCTTGCGCTTGAAGAGTCGGGATTCGGGATTTGGGATTCGACACTTCGGAGAGTTGCCACAATAACTGTCTCCTGATCTCTGGACTGAGGGTTAGGCCCCCAGGCGTAGCTCCTCCCAAGGGGGGAGGGGTGGAGGGACAGAGCATCGACAGTGGAAGGGAGAACGCTGCCCCCTTGCAACTCCCCTGGCTGCGCCAGTGAGTTTAAATGGACGGTTCTTCCAAGAACCTTGTTAATCACCTCTAAGGAAGCATTGTTTTCTCTGATTTTATCTGTTCAAATAAATATGCAAGCATCCAAATCGAACGCAGTGTCATTTATCTTCAGAGCTCAACTATATCAAGCTAAAGTTTTTTTTTCTGTTCATGACGAAATGGTAATTCTGAATGTAGATTGCGTCATTCGGAGAACACAGGGAAAACGAGGGGAACAACCCTCGCCTTATGTGGACAAACTCTTGTGCTTGCCAAACAATGGCTACAAGCATTGGATGCTTCCATATTTATTTGAACAGATTAAATCAGAGAAAACGTGTTTTACTTATAGGTGCCCTATTTAATAGCTCTATGGCCACAGTAAAGTACCGCTCCCCTCTCCCCCCCCCATCACAATTTTCCAGAGAAGGGCACAGACGGGGGGAACTTCTCCCTTTGGCCCCTTTGCTACGTCACATTTATGCCCTATGCAGACCATAACCAAATAATCCAATTCAGAAAAGGCACTATTACAACTGATCTCGAGAATGTGTTTACTGATATGTTGCAGTTACAACAGGTTGGGGGCGCTATAAAGTTAGCCCCAAAACAGCAGATTATGTTATGGGCGTAAAGCGTTACAATTGGCGGCCACAGGGATATCTGGAAATAGAGAGTTCAGTTGCACGTTCTACGTAAACGCGAACATGAAAAAAATGTGGACCTTTTGTGACGTCATTGCTTCTTGCGTATTGTCTCTTACGTACGGGTAGTTTGCACGGACGTCCAAAACGTGAAACACCGGAAGTTCACGTTGGATCAAAACGCCAGAAACTGCAACTTTTTCGGAAGGTTTAAAATTATGCATTGGACATTCGCTAATATTACATGGACATTTCTGGAAAGTGTAAAGGTTAAGCAACTTGGATTTTTTTCATGCTTGGTTTGGATGACCGATTACACTTCTTTTAGAGACTTACTGGATGTGATTGGCCCTTTTATTCGAACGTTCATTGGCAGACGTACGGTTTGTGTGGGGTGCGCATCTAAACGTTCAAACCATTGGGTGCGTTCGATTAGCTTCCCTGAACACACCAGTGTTACACTCAAGGGAAGCCTCAAAATGAGGCTTATCGAG